TGATCCTATAATTTACTTTATGCGTCGGGTAAGAGGTTGCTTTGCCGCCAGAACTAGACTTGCATACGACTGTTACCGGAAGCCAGTAATTATAGTCAATAAAGTTATAAATGTGGAGTTGTTGTTGTTTTTTACAAAAAATATCATTTTGTTTCAAAAGGCCTTTATTAACCCACTTTAGCCATATGGATTACTTTTATGATTGATGGATGCGCTTTTTTTGGGCTTCAAAATCTCAGGTGCTACTCGCTCCCATGATAAAGCTTGGAAGAGCAAGGATATTCTGTTATATTTTTTTAACTCTGTGTTTGGCTAGAAGAAATTATTCATATATATATACACCTAGGATGGCTTGAGGGTGAGCAAATTAGGGGGTCATTTTAATTTTTGGGGTATCTTTAAGCGAATGCTTACCAAGCTGGGCATTTTGACATGTCTTCTGTGTTTTAAACCGTTTCGACGTGGAGCACTTTGCTTGTTTCTGTTCCACACTGTCTCGGTGCGTGCGCACGGAAATCTGCTTGGGGGACAGGATCTCTTTCGCGGCTTAGTGCAGGTTTAATTATCTTTTTATTATAGAGCACGTCCTGCAGTTTAGCAAAAGTAGACTGCATTTTACGACAATCACTTATTTGCTGGTTTGGGCTTTTAGGAAAGAACGAAAGCGCAACGCTATAAATGAAAAGAAATGGACTAAAATCGCACAGCCGTAGGGTTGCTGTTGTTACTATGTCTCCGCTCTCCGCAAAGACGTTGCAGATGTATTGTCCTTTTCAGATGCCTAGTACAACTGCCAGACCGATTTTGCACGATTTTGGCTCGCCGACAGGTTTTGAGAAATTGCTGACAATTGCTCGAAATCACAGGCGAGTCAGTGCTCGTTCACATGAGTGACAATCACACAGTGTGATTGAGCAAAGACGCGATCTGAGAGAATCGCAGACGCCCGTGAGACATTTGGCATGCTAAATATCTGAACCTGTCGGCGATTCAAAATCCTGCTGTGTGAAAAGTCTTCTGACTGAAAACTACATCAGCGATTACCGACAGCCAATGAGAGCAAGATACAGAGCAGAGGAGTTATAGATCACATATCAACAAGCATGGCATTGTTTCAAAAAAGGCGGCTTCTCAGTCTATTTGAACCCAAGAAATGGAAGATAAATTTGTAGAAATTTGGCAGGAACACTCGTGTCTGTTTGACGTTTCATCTGAGCTGTACCACAACCGGGTCAAAAAAGAAAGTCTCACGTGAGAACTCTGGGCTTGCACGTGTGTTGTTGCATTGTTTCCTCGCCCGTGTGTCACATGCTAGACAGAGTTGTCTGCGATTCTTCCTATTGTAAAGTCATGCAGTGTGAAACCTGTTGCCGATCCATCGTGAAGCAGCAGACCTTATTCAGAGCAGCGCCATGACCGGTATGAAAGTGAGGCTGTGAGGGATAGACTTACCGTGTTTCCAATGACATCCGCTGTAAAAAGCTTGAATAAAGCGGCTAGATTTCTTACAATTTTCCACAGCTTACATTGTCGGGAGTTTTTTGTCAACTGACATTTCTTGGAAAGATATTTTTCCAGTGTTTCATGAGCAGAACAATCCGAAAACACATTAAATAACAGTACAGCCCATTGAAGAGATGCAAGTCTATCCCTCACAGCCTCGCTTATATTCTCATTAAAAATCAAAGATGGCGCTGCCGTGAATAAGGCGTATGCTGGCCAAGATAGTCATGCAGTGTGAAAGAAGAGCGACCCGGCAACTTTGAAAATCGTGCAGCCTGAACTCGGCATTAGTGAAGTAGTTTTAGCTGCATAGAAAAATTAGCTGCTCTTACTGGCCTTTTATAAAGACCACCGATCAAACTATTTAAGCCTATAATTGGCCAATAACGATCGGCGCCTGATCAATCGGGGCGCCTGATCAATTGGAGCACCGTTAATTCATTATCTACCTTAATGCTGTTAGACTTCACTGTTTATTTAATTTGTATCTTTGTTCAATTGTTTTTTTTTTCTATGCTTGCAATTTGATTATTTTCTATGCAGATGCACTCCCCTACAAGATCATACCTTTCATTCTAGAATGATTAATACTTTCCATATTGAATTATTCAAGTAATCTGGTGTATCTTAATATTTATTGCAGAGAAACAAAATATCGCAAATGTCAATTTTTTCCAATATCGTGCAGCCCTGCTTTGTTGGGTTGCTGGCATTAGCCTGATTATGTTGATGTTGGGAAGGCCATAATAGTGTTTTCCCCCACAATTTGAGCAGTAGAAACTGTATATGCTGCTTTATTTTTCCACAGAATTATAAATGTATAATAAATGAGACATTTATGATATTCTAAAAAAAATAAAAATCACTGTCTATATCCATCAAACTATATTGGTGCTTCTGTGGTAGTATCCATGTTGGGTTGTGCTTTTAGAAGATAACTGAAGGTGAGGTGAGGGACTTACCTTTTGTATCCATGTCATTTTGATCAGCAAGATTAGAGGACTTAGGCAAATTGTCTTGATGCAGGCCCATTTAAGAGGTCAGCCAATCGGGAGGAAGCAAGTGTATAGGAAAGGATAAGACGTTAACCAAGAGAAACATTTTCTGGCTGTCAAACACAAGGAGCCTTGTGCAAGCCACATAAGGTAAGATTCAGAGTATAGCCTAACCTATAACTTTAAGAAAGTTTAAAAGTCTCTACCACATTGGGAGAGTAAGGAATTTCTCAGCACATAGCAGGAAGTAAAATTGCTTGTTGTCTTCAACATACTTCAATATTTTGGTTCTTTAAGCTTGTACTGTATCCTTAGACTTGTTGAATTTAAACTGTTTTCTTTTTAAGCTATATTTGCAATGCATGCCTTTTGTTCACCCAGGTAAACGCCTTCGTTCTTTCATTGGATGACAAACTCAAGAAATGCTTCCAATGACATATCCGCCTTGCTCTTTCACACAGCTAACTTTCACGTTTCAAACATGGAACCATTGATTACCCAATTAGGACCTGGCATAATGCACCAGAGGCCAATGGCAATTACAGGAAATGGATCCAACCAAATTTATAGTGCTAGATTGCCTGACCACAGACATCTGGGAGTAACAAGGCTTCTCTGTTATGTCACTCAGACGTATTTATCATTGCTTGATGGTACTCATCTGACCCATTCAGCTTGAATAGCGGGTGTTTGTCATTATTTCTTCATCCTTTCTCCTCTTAGTCCTTGATGTTCATCTGGCCTGTCTATACTCATGCTTGAACCTGCATTCATCTTGCTCAATTTGGGCAACTAAGACCAGGCTAACGGGAAAGATGTCAGCTTCTTAAGAATCAAGATATTGTGCAGCTGCAAATTGTTCTATATTTGAAGTAGGTCATATAATGTTGGCCTAGAATAATAAATTCAACATTTTGTAGAACATGGAAACATTACTGGGATGTGCAAAAAGTGGCTGAACAATGGACCGTTTGAGTTGTTCATTCATTTGTCTGCTAAAGACCCGAAAGGCAATGCATTCAAATCCATTTGGCCAAAACAAGAATCCTGTCAATTTTATATGCACCATGAATAGACCATACCCAATTGGCCTTGGTTGCTCATCCAAATATTCCTCAATATATTTGAGGAGTATCCATATATCGTGAACGTGCCACACTTATACTTGCATTAACTTGAAACGTTAGTCGTCCGTCATTGGATCTCTTGCAGCAAGCAGATCCTTTCCATACTTTTCACATGCCTCTAAAATTAATCCCATCATTCTCCAGCGTTAGGTGCGTACACTCCGATAGGCCATTAAAACAGCTGCCTTCATCAGCCGTTTGTCTGAGCGCATGAAGGATTTGGGTCAGCAGGATAGGTGCTGCTCTTCCGATCAGTGTCCCCGGTGTGTCTTAACTGGATTTGCCTGAAGGAGCTGAATCAAGCGTGTCCCAGGATTATGTCAATGACACTGTGGAGAGAGAGGTTTGAAAACACGGCTGTGGGCTTGAACGCTAATAGGATGAGAGCTGGCCTAGAAGGGCTGGCTGTTGTCAGTTGAGTATGTTTGCTCTAAATCAAGATTAAAACGGACAGGCTATAAGGGCTTCAAAGTGTGATGGATTATTATTATTATTATTAAGGAATTGAATGAGTGTTTCGGTCTGGAAACCAGCACTTTGTATAGATGATCAATAGTTTTAATTGGTCAGTTAGGACATCAGTTAGGTAAATGTGCTATTAGTTGAAATTAAAATGAGCCTATTTTCTTTCCTGGTGTCCATAATGTTTATTCTCCATAATCATACATTTAAATGTTATAAATTGCTCCGCCTTTGAAACGACTTTCATTTTCAGCTGTTGTCATGAAGCCCTCATTTTTTTTTTTTTTTCAACCACATGACCCCATTCTTGGATGTAGCACCCAGTTTTCATCATCCAATCAATTCCCAATGGATAAAATCCTGTCCTACATTCTCATTGAATATCCGTTTTTTTTTCTCATAATTTTTCACATTATGGATGTAAAATGCAGTTTCATGTTATCATTTTTTATGCTAGAGTTTAGGTTAAGGTATTTTTGACATTATAAAAGGACAATCACAGCTCATTTCTTTCCATTGTTCTCTTTGTACTTCTGCATTTTTCATTAAGAACCAACAACTCGTTTCACCACAAGAGGAAATGGTTCTTTGGGTGTTTTCAGTATGGAATCTTGATGTACACCCTTGTGTATTGATAAACAATCCATTAACCAATGTTACATGACATGGTAAATGTATTATTCCTCTTATAGATGAAGCTAGCTTGTGATATCAGTCAAATCATATGGGTGTTTCGATATCGGATGCTAATGGCCAGATGGTTATGTAGTGGGACGTGTTTGAAAACCAGAAATGTGCACAATTGAGTGTTAATTGATAGACTCAAAATGTCTATTGAAGGGATAACATTGGAATTGGCCTAAATGTGGTTTTTTTTTTCTTCTTCTTCTTTTTTTTTTTTTGTCTGCTGCAGATCAGAACGTGTCCCGGCAGTAGGAGTGAGGAAGAGCTTTAGAAGAGGAAAATGAGTGAACTGGACCAGTTACGCCAGGAGGCTGAGCAGCTGAAGAACCAGATTAGAGTGAGAACCTTTCTCTCTGATATATAAATGTGTTCATTCATTAATTAATCCCTGAACCATACCTGTATAATGTAAAGCTAAACGAATGGTTATTAAACTAAAAGTTCTAAATGCCCAATCACCTTGAAACGGTTAAATATATACTAATAGATTGGCCCTGGTCAATATTAATCCCCTAACTGATATCTGCTGATTATTTTGCCTGATTGATTTTAACAGAATATTTTTTTTTCTAATTGAGCATTGACTAGAATGCAGTCTGAAAGGGGTCAGTAATTTTGGACCACCATGACAAGAATTTGACACATTAATCACACAGATAAAACATAAAACTAGACGTATTTAAATTCTAATCATTTAATCAGATGTTTTTTTCACCCGATTACCTGGTAGTCTCTTGTTGCGCAGTAATATTTGCATAACCAAAAGACATTTAAATACAGATGACGGTTGTTTATACATTGAAGGAAGAGCATTTACTGTAACTGTGTAACTGTACTGTTCTCATTCCTCTCGGTGCTCCAGAAGAATTTATACCCGATACTTCCTCCATCAAGGCGCTTTACATATTATCTGAGCCAGAGATGTTTACCGGACCTCAGCTATTGTGCTCTTCAGTTTTAGACTGAAATCGACTCTTTTAGACTCTCAGATCTATAACCTTTTAGCCGTAATCAATCAATCAATGATTAAATAAACCTTAACGGGTCAATAATGCAAACAATTAGGATACTCCGTTTGCTCAAAGCTTATATCACTGTTATAACTCTCATGTTATTATATACAAAACATTAACCCTAATTTTTTATTACGTTATTGTGAAATAATGCCTCACTCCGCAGCGCCTAAACTGGTTTTCTTATTTTCTTTGTTGTAGGATGCAAGGAAAGCTTGTGCAGATGCCACACTATCACAGGTAAGAGCTTCCATGCATAAAGAAACTGTTTTATTTTAGTTAAGTGACCCTAATTTAAATAAACTGATTAATCCCCATATTGCTGCCATTTGTATGTGGATATTTATTTACATGGCACATATATTTTCAGATCACAGCCAACATTGACCCTGTTGGCCGAATCCAGATGCGCACAAGAAGAACACTGCGGGGGCATCTGGCTAAAATCTATGCCATGCACTGGGGCACCGATTCCAGGTACCGCATATTTCAGAACAACTCCGTCACGTTATTTGCATGACAGCCTGACCTTTTTCGCTAGCTATTTGAAAACATCCTTGTACATCAGAGTGTGATACACAGAGGGGTTTCCCTTTCACAATGAGGGTGGATGGGTTCATGGCTCGTGTGGTGGCCACTGCATGCTATCCCTCCTGTATTGAATCATGTTCTTGTATATTGTGTAGGTGGTGACTCATGGTTGTAAGTAGGTGTTATGACTAAGCATGTTGTTACTATTATAGATACAGCCAAGAAAAATCCATAATTGTTCAATTTTTTGTGCTGGAAATAGTTTGAGATTGTTCTGGGAGACAATTCTCATGGTTGTAGTTGTGCTAGCTGTGATTTTTACTTTCACGTTCTCTATAGGGTTTAATGTTCCCAGGATGTAAACCCCACTCTCTGCCATCTTGTGTTTTCTGTGCAGGCTGCTTGTCAGTGCCTCCCAGGATGGAAAACTCATTATTTGGGACAGTTATACTACAAATAAGGTATGATATTTCTCAGTGTTGCTCCACTTTTCTAGAGATGGATATTGGCCATATTCGCCATTTTATTTTTACTTAAAATATATATTTATGTGTGTGAGAGAGAGAGAGCGAGACCTGTGCTTTCTCTATTTAAAAACCTTCAAAATGATGAATTATTTTGTTGGAATGCAAAAAATAAATGAGCTACACCTGTTTGAAGTCAATAGATTCAGGAAAGTCAATTTTGACTTTTGCTTTGAGTTTCACAGCTTTTGCATCGTCAAGCATTTTAGTTTTGTAAAAAATCTAGTCCTTAAAGGAGTAGTTCACTTTTAAAAAAACGTTTGCTGATAATTTACTCACCCCCATGTCATCCAAGAAATCCATGTCATTCTTTCTTCAGTCGAAAAGAAATTAAAGTTTTTGATGAAAACATTCCAGGATTTTTCTCCATATAATGGACTTCAGTGGGAACCAAACGGTTCAAGGTCCAAAAGACGGTTTCAGTACAAACTGTAAACTGTTCAAAGAGCTTTAAACGATTCCAGACGATGAATAAGTGTCTTATCAAGCGAAACGATCACTCATTTAAAAAAATAAAATAAATTTTATGTTTTATAAGCTCAAATGGTCGCCTTGCTCTGTTCTGTGATGCACAATCGTGACTCTCCTGTTCAAACTCGTTCAACAAAATGAACAAATCTTTTCCAGAGTCAACTCGTTTATTTCGTTCGTTGAATGAACCAAATGACACGAAAAAAGATTTGTTCATTTTAATGAACGAGTTTGAACAGGAGAGTCACAAACGCTCATCACAGAACAGAGCAAGGTGACCATTTGAGCTTATAAAACTTTGTTATTTTTTTTTTAAATTAGTGATCGTTTAGCTTGATAAGACCCTTATTCATCGTCTGAAATCGTTTAAAGCCCTTTGAACAGTTTGCACTGAAACTGTCTTTTGGACCTTGAACCGTTTGGTTCCCATTAAAGTCCATTATATGGAGAAAAATCCTGGAATGTTTTCATCAAAAACCTTAATTTCTTTTCGACTGAAGAAAGAAAGACATGGACATCTTGGATGACATGGGGGTGAGTAAATTATCAGCAAAAGTTTTTTTTTAAAGTGAACTACTCCTTTAAATAGTGCAGATCTTGCTCTAACAGGAACTAATCTAAACACTGATGATCAGCTATGTGAAATGGTTTCTGCTACAGATTTTTACTACTTCCTGTCTTCTTCCATGTCACTTCCTGAGTATTCATGTGTTGTTTTTCAGGTCCACGCCATTCCTCTGCGCTCCTCCTGGGTGATGACCTGTGCCTACGCTCCTTCAGGGAATTACGTTGCTTGTGGAGGCCTAGACAACATCTGCTCCATCTACAGCCTCAAGACTCGCGAGGGGAACGTACGCGTCAGCCGCGAGCTGGCCGGACACACAGGTAGAGGACTTCCTCCTGAAACACACTCACAAACTCCGATCTTGGCTCTTGTGAACGTACACAAAGTTTGATGTTTGGCAAAGCTGTAATTATGTAGTGAATCTGCATTGGTGTTTTTTGCACACTTTTAAATAGATCTTATTAATAAAATCTGTGAGATGAGATCTATGATCGACTTTAGAGATTACATGATGCACTCATATTCGGTTATGTCCAGGTCGTATTTCACATTTTATTTAATTGAAACAGTTTTCTTTGTCTTTATAATGACAATTCAGCACGTTCTCTTCATATTTCAGTGTAATAAAGCAATGGAAATCATCCCCCAAACAATGACATTTTGTTCATTCACAGATATTCTTAGGTTTTTAAGTGAAATATTATTTACTACTCAATTTTGTGGTGAAATATTTGTTTGTAATTGTTTGTTAGAGATGTGCATTAAACTTCCTCCAATCTACAGGATACCTCTCTTGCTGCCGCTTCGTTGATGACAACCAGATTGTTACAAGTTCTGGCGACACCACCTGGTGAGTGTGAGAAACTGTATCCCAGCAGCCCATATCAGGAGTCTTGCTTTTTGGATTAACAGGGATATTTGTACTTTTTTTTTAAACAATTAAGTCAGGAGTCAGATTACTATACATTTTAATCAAAATATTGGAAATGATTCATTTACATTACCTAAGCTTTGTATTTATCATAATGTGCATGTTCTTTTACTCCAAAAAAGTCATTTCTATAAAATCAACAGGAAGTAGGAAATAACATAATGGGGAGACAAGTAAATAAGTTATTCATTGAGCTCATTTTATAGTGCTCAAGAAGAAAAATTATCCAAATTTTATATATATATATATATATATATAATATATATTAGTGAAATAAAGCTAACATTTGAGCCCATTTAGGTTATAGGTTAAATCAGTCTATTTTTGTTTTTCTTATTTTTAGTTTTAGCTCAAATGTTAGTTTTATTTCACTAATATGTATACATCAAAAAAATTTTTATATATATATATATATATATTAGTGAAATTAAACATTTGAGCCCATTTAGGTTATAGATTCAATCAGTCTATTTTTGTCTTTCTTATTTGACATTTATGTTTATTATTACGTGTTTCAAATCTGCACAATTTTGCAGTTAGATTCTACGTTTTGATTTCTCAATTAGTATGAATCTTGAATGGAAATGTTGTGATCTGTCCTGCAGTGCTCTCTGGGACATAGAAACCGGTCAGCAGACGACCACGTTTGCGGGTCACACCGGTGACGTGATGAGCCTGTCTCTGGCTCCAGACACCAGGCTGTTCGTGTCAGGGGCCTGTGATGCCTCTGCTAAACTCTGGGACGTCCGTGAGGGCATGTGCAGACAGACCTTCACTGGCCACGAGTCGGACATCAACGCCATCTGTGTGAGTGCTCTTAGCAGTAGATAAGGGCTTGATGCTGTACTCTTTGGTGATTTTATACTGATGCGAGCTCACGTCGCCCCTGCAGTTCTTCCCCAATGGCAACGCATTCGCCACCGGTTCTGACGACGCCACCTGCCGCCTGTTTGACCTGCGCGCCGACCAGGAGCTCATGGTCTACTCTCACGACAACATCATCTGTGGCATAACCTCCGTGGCCTTCTCAAAGAGCGGCCGCCTGTTGCTCGCCGGCTACGACGACTTCAACTGCAACGTGTGGGACACCCTCAAGGCCGACCGCGCTGGTGAGATTGGCACACGCCAAAAATATCCGCAAACGTATGCTAGTAATGGTTATTATCAATGGCATGTGGTCTTGTGACTGCCCTGAAAGCAAACAAACCACCGTTCACTCACACAATGGTGTTGTTTTGCATAGGTACAGTGCTTGCTTGTTTACACGCCACATTGGTTTGTTTCTTTTGCATACGCCAACATGCACAGGACAAGCGGCTGTTGATATACGGTCCACATTTGAAAGCCTTAATGTTCATATGTGACATCATCAAATGAGTTGAAATGGACTATTTTAACGCATGCACACAGGCGAGACTTGAATCGCCGTTTCATACAAATGAGGCGCATTATCACTGTGTGGCACCCTCTCCGTTATGGTTTGCTGACGTTTGGACTTTTTCAGGTGTGCTGGCCGGCCACGACAACCGAGTAAGCTGTCTGGGTGTAACCGATGACGGGATGGCAGTGGCTACAGGGTCTTGGGACAGCTTCCTCAAGATCTGGAACTGAACGTGAAGGTGCTTTCAATACAACATGTCCAATACAGTAAGAGTCAGCCTCTTCCAGCACAACCTAATGACAAACAAGAGATACTTTGTGTTTTACACGCCATGTAAATGTGTCCTTGCTCCACCTGCTATTTTTGGCAACACGTTGGTGAAGATCGGAGGGGCAATATGTCATACACACATTTTTTGCCATTTTAATTTGAAAAACCAATTTGGTGCCATGTACAGTTGCTCTAGACAGGGTACCCACTAGAGCCAGAACGATATATCGGCAGGCCGATATTATCGGCCGATATTAGGCATTTTCCAAACTATCGGTATCGGCAGTTATAATGGCCCGATAAATGAATATTTCAAAAATAAAATAAAAACATACGATACACGTTTGAACCATGTCATGAGTGTTAAAGTTGTATAGTTTGTCCACCAGAGGGCACTCTACACCGTTCCTGTTGTCCACGAGACATACATTGCTTGAATAACAATTAAAAGATCATCCCCATTAGTTCTCGTAACTCAAATAAGCATGACAAAATTTGTGACTATCATGTCCAGTTTGGCTGCTGTTAAATAAGCCGAGAGTGAAGCGGAATTAGCTAGTAATAATTACGTTACGTAGTTGACTGACTGTCCTTTTAACTTTTGACAATGTGACTGAAGTATTTCTTTAATAGCACGTGACAGTTATAGCAATGAGACGTATCATCTCTCCTTGGCCTGTTATGTTGAAAATGTATGTTTTATAATTTGCAGTATGACGTTATCCATTGCTAAATTATGGCTCATTATAGACTAGCTAACCATAAAGCTAGCTAATGCCACTATCATCAGTCTGTTCTGTTGTGACAATAAAAGAAACTTTTTAAAATGCATTATCATATTATTTTAGTTAAAACTCATAAATAACTACAAATAAGTAATGTTAGGGAAATCTGTTAGTTTTGTTGCACGTTTCTGAAGTAAAAAAATATCGGCCGATATATCGGAATATCGGATTTTTAAACCAAAAAATATTTCGGTGTCGGCCTTCAAAATCCTTTATCAGTCGGGCTCTAGTTCCCACGGGTCCTTGAAAGTTTGTGAATCAGGAAAAAGAAATTCAAGGCCCTGGAAGGTTTTTGAAAATAATCATACATAGATACAGGTCCCTGAAAGTGCTTGAATTTATTTTGTGATTAGTTTTCTGAAAAAAAAAGAAAAAAAAAATCCATATTATATTATTCCGGTCCGCTAACGTGTTATTTCGCCAACACTTCCTGGCCTATGCACACTAGCTTTGCTTGATTATCGTTAGTTGCGCACATTTACGTGTTTCCCGCGTGGGGTACTTTGTGTTGTACGTTGCCTTGACGTTCACGTTTATTGTTGGACACAACAAATGTGTCCCCACAGTAAGTCGTTAAATTTGAGGGTATTGGACCTGGAAAGTCCTTGAAAGGTCCTTGAATGTGAAGTTACCAAGGTGTGGAACCCTGTCTAAACAAATAAAAGTTTCTGTTATTTCTAAATGAATGAGTTTAGTTTCACCATTGTATATTTGTAATGCAAGATTATATAAATCTAAAAACTTTATTTTGATAGTCACTTTAGACGTACTACTAATTATAAGTAACTTTTCACATGTCAACTAACTCTTATTAGAGTATTAATATATTATAGTAGACTGTAAGGGGTTAGGAGAATAAGTTTACTTGTAGTCGCCAAGTCAGTTGGGGGACCAACAAAATAAAGTGTTAGCCGATATTAAGCAGACAGTCTACTCTACTAATACTCTAATGACCGTTAGTTGACATGTAGTTGAAAAGTTATTTATAGTTAATAAATGTCTAAAGTGGACTATCGAATTAAAGTGTTACCAACTTTAGTTATAGAGATTTCTTTCTACTGTTAAATTTACATTTGCGTATTTATATTGTAAGATTATATGAGGTTGTCATATGAATATCTGCTTCATCGTTGTCTTTTTCTCTTTCTTTTTTCCCCGCAGATATCATTTGAACTCCAAAGTTGACTGGAAGACCATTCCAACTTTAGAATGTTAAATTTCACAGCATCGTCAACAACAAAACACCTTCTAAAACTGACTGACACCACCATGAAAAGAAATAAAACTTCTAAGGGAAAACAATGCCTTTCCTACACCAAGAAGAGCACAATTTGTTTTATCACCCAGCTTAAAAAAAGAAAAAAAGAAAAAAAAAAATGAAGAAGATTTCCTGTGGTATCAAATGAATAAATTGCATTCCCTCTCGGACCATTCTGTGTCACCCTGTAAGAGAACACACAAAACACTATCATCCCACGCTTATGTATCATGTGTCTAGAAAGCAAATGTTGGAGTGTAATTGTACAAATTATTTAACTCTTATTTTTTTTCTTCTTTTGATTCCTTTTATCTGATAGTTCATCTTCTAGATCTTTTTCCCGCCTGTTTTTTCTGTTTAGATACGTTTCTGATTAGTAAAATCTTTTAATCCTGTTATTATAAAACCACGTAAAAACGACATGAAAGTCATGTAAAATGCTGAAACTAGACCAGGATGGAAGAGCAGCTTTTTTTTTGAAGATGCCAATCATGTGTTTTGTTATTTTCACGTGCACTAGGTTGCTCTACAGGTTGTGTAGTTTCCATGAACGTGACTCGAGCGAGAGGAAAGCTTAATAATCATATTCTTGGGCGGCCCCGGACGGCGCTCAACGGCCGCTGGGTTTCTGCCGATCACCGGCGAACGAGAGCAGCCCTAGCTTTCCAAAACCCGTAATCATGATCTGTGCATTAGTTTTCTTTCAGTGTGAATCCTGGTCCTTTTGTCATTAAAGAAAAAAAAGAAAACGCCATAAAAATGCCATATCTCTTTTAAATACTTTGCCATTTCCGAGAGTCCGAGGTACTCGCTTCATTTATCCACGAATGGCCGTTGTAAATATGGGTATCCGACTTGCACGCGAATGCAGCATTATATCTTAGCTAATGTTTCTTTCCAGTCTCGTCACAGCTTTGTTTGCACAATAAGAAACTTGACTAACGTTTTAAGCGTTAACTAACCAAGCACATGCCGTTAATCACATCGAATGCTAATTTTAATGTAGAAAATGCACAAAAAAGTACAAAAAAACTGAAAAACACAAAAAATACAATCCTCTCTCTCTTTCATTGGATTAAAAACCGTTCAAACTAACCCCTTAGCTTCTCTTCTGGTCTTACGTTTATACTTTTTCTCCTCGGTTACTTTGAGCTTTTGGCTTTTTATTCCGATTTTTGCGATTGTTTTCGTCGGTGGGAGGTCGGGAGGGGGAACGTTTAGATTTTTTCAGTGGTGTCGGGATCAGTGTTCGGAAGAAAAAAAAAACGAAACAGAGATAACAGTTACTACTATGTGAATGAAATGTTGTACAAATCAATGTCTGAAAATAATGATGATTCTGAAATCTTTAAGTTAAGCGTTTTATTTCATCTGCCATGAATTAACGTAGTCGCATGCTGTAGAATTTGCTTAAACGGGCGCTGACGTCTTTAGGCCCACTGGGATGGCGAAACCGATACGAAGCAGAAAACGTTGATTCCGAACGTTTTAGACATGCCGTGCATACATCCTTTACTTTCACCGGCGAAGCTATGCACCTATGTGAGAATTCCTGCAGACGACCTGTAAATCATGGCCATGCTTCCTGAAGTTTTTCCAAATTAAACGAAATGTCCCGTTCGAGACGCTCAAAACCTTCTTTCAGATATTTCGACACCGAAACGTTTTGGCTTTTCTTTAAACGTTTTGAAATGGCATCTGACATGGCAGAGTCTTCTGTTCTTTTTCCACTGTAAACAGATGCACTTTCTTTTAATAGTTGTGACTTTTTTTTTTTTATTGTTTTTTTCCTTTCTCTGCGATAATGTACAATAATTGTGATGTATTTGTGTGTGCTGCCACCAGTAAAGATTAATTGCAGTTCAATTAAAATGGATTCCCCTTATTTTCTCTCTTCATTAATAACTGTAGATCTCAGCACTCCCTATCTCGCCTTTTGTATTTAATTTCAGTCTGTCGGTGTACCACAGAAAGCTGGATGCAACATAGATACTATATTAAAATGTACTGTTATTTAAGATGTAATAAAACAAGTTTGAGATGTCTCTGATGTGCTGATGTTTTGCCAGAGAGGAACCGTAACTCAAGAACTTTTCGCCTGGGTTAGCAGTTCCTCGTTCTTCAGACATCCGGGTGTGAAGGACGCCATTCGTCATCTGATTTTTGCTTCTGGTCTAATGGATTCATGCTTCTGCTAGAAATTAGTTTAGGTACGTTTTTTTAACAACTTCATCTTGTTTCGCTCTGAAATGGCCTAGTTAAGTAGTTAATTTTATTCAGTGCAATTTCTTTCACTGCTTTGAATATTTATTGGCCTAACAGTGTGGGAACCTTGGCTTTAGGACAAGAACAGCAAAGAAAATATGTATTATTTTACCTAAAAAGCAAGGAAATTATTAAGTGAATATAAACCATTATCATGGCTGTATAAACAAAAGTTGTTCCAATGTAAACATCAGTGTTGTCCAACCGGGGTATCTTTTCTGTACTTGTTTGTAATGCTTTGAGGCTCCTTTTTTGGTAGCCTACTTAATCCAGAAGTCATACTGTCCTATAACTCTGCGCATTCGAGTTCTTTAGGAATACCGTTTCCAAGTAAAACAGCTGTTGTGGAGGCTGATCCTCTCGGCGGGAAAAATGGAGATGGATTGTCTTAAATACTGCACTGTTGTAAACCCTTGTAATCAGAGTTTGAGTCTTGATGTTGATATTGCACTCGAGACCACATAACAATCAGCATGGCTTTTTTCATAAAGGGGATGGTTCAACCAAAAATGAAAATGCAGTCAACATTTATTCCCTTCTTTCAACTGTGGGACACAAAAAGATAGTTTGAGGAACATTTGGGGACTTAAATCTCTCCTTGTATGTTTCTCAGACAGGTTTGGAATGACGTGAGTAAACGAACCAAAATGCAGATTTTTAAGGGACATGGAATTGCTCTGAAATTAATCTATAAACTCATATTAACATGTATATACAAGATTTCTAAACACTGCTTAGTGCTGTTCACTTAAAAAAAAAGAAGAAAAAAAACTTTTGCTGATAATTTACTCACCCCCATGTCATCCAAGATGTCCATGTCTTTCTTTCTTCAGTCGAAAAGAATGTTCGGTTTTGATGAAAACATTCCAGGATTTTCTCCATATAATGGACTTCATTGGGAACCAAACGGTTCAAGGTCCAAATGAGAGTTTCAGTGCAGCTTCAAAGGGCTTTAAACGACACCAGACGATGAATAAAGTCATGACTCGAAAAAAGATTTGTTCATTTTGATGAACGAGTTTGAACAGGAGAGTCACGAATGCTCATCACAGAACAGAGCAAGGCGAGCATTTGTGCTTATTTATTTTTTAAATGACCGATCGTTTCGCTTGATAAGACCCTTATTCATCGTCTGGTGTCGTTTAAAGCCCTTTGAAGCTGCACTGATACTGATACTTTTTTTTAAAAGTGAACTACTCCTTTAATAGTCTAGTTTTTACACTCATTATTATGCAAATAATCTAACCAGCTAATCATGAGTCTGCAACTCGGCCACGGTCAACGGTTCAGGTATTTTTGAAACCAAACATCTTGGTTATTATATAATTGTAGCATGATGCTAATATCACCACAAGCCTTACGTGTCTCTCAATGGTGCGTTTATATTTCTAGTGCTTTTATTATTGAGCAGAAGCACACCACCCAGATAAACATTTCTGGTGGTCGAGAATGTTTAGATGAGTTCAGAAATGAACTGAAACGCGGGCCTCTTCAGTCAGATATCTGTTTTCTCATTCTCCTCAAAGGAAGTGATTTTAGCCCAATTATACCTTATCGTACAGATCGATTCCTGTTTAAAATAAGGCCGAAACATGTGTCTGGTAGATGCCCCAGTTTAGCTATTAAGTTACTTCCCTTGGAAACAAACGAGTTAACAAGATGTTGTTAGAAATCAAATACCAGCGAATTACTTCCTGCAAACATTTCCTTAAAATAGTACACATTATTAAAAAACAAATAGGGACACGATACGATAATGGTTTCGATAACAGTATATGGTTGTTGAAAAGAGATTCAGACGACTGAGGAAAAAAAAAATGCTAAGTATATATATTTAATGTAGGCCTACACCCTAAAAACAATATGATCAAGTTATGACAACCCATCAAACTAAAATGAGATGTTGAAATGACTTTTGAGTGTACTTAAAGATGTAAGGCAGCTAGTTTTATCTATTTTTTTTTTATACTGTAGCAATTAGGCTACATACTCCAGTAAGTAGTGTACCAGTTTTTCAGCACTGCTAAGTTCAGTATCTGGTTAAAAAGTTGTTTTAGTTACTTATTAAAACAAGACCAATTATTTTGTATTTTGACTTTATTGACATGGATTTCATAAATGACCTTCTTGCACATTGTGCTTTACAAAGAGATTTTTACAAGCGTTTTTTTAAAATATAAATGAAACAAACAATGAAGAGAATATAAAAATAATATAATAATAAGTTAAAAGAAATAAGACATTGCAAATATGGTAATGTACATAAGTACAGTAGTAAAACTTCTTGAAAGCACTGAGGTGGCTCTGATAATATAGTGCAACAGGAAAATAAATACAATATGTTGTTTACAAATCAGCAATGAAATAATTTCTTCAAATGTGCCTATGATATATATAATTAATGCTAAAAGACTGATTAACCTTTATGATGTTATTTAGAAGAAGTCAGTGAAAATCCAAGTATAAATAAAGTATAAAACACACGCTCCTCCCGTCTTCAATCATATTGTCTAGTTACAGCGAGCCAACAAATGTTCAAGCAAAATTCCTCTCAAATGAAGTTTCGATGTTTCTTTGAAGTCTTTGAAGTTTGAAAATTCTCATTTTTGGAACTTATATAATTTAATGATATAATTAAGATATGCTGATAAATGTTTCAAATACTGCAATCAGCAGAAAAAACAAAACAACTGAACTGATAAAAAAGGATATTTAAAGTCTTAATTTTGGGGATAAAATGAAGATACTGAAGAAAAATGAATTGTGATTTTTCTTCCAATGAGGAAAAATGATTTCTGTGCTTTACATAATGTCCTCTTGTAACAATGAAAAGTACTTAACTAGCAAATATCTTCTCAAACAGACTATGCCTAATTTGGTTCTTTGCCCCTGTTGTCTTGGCTTTTGGCTAGTTGAGGACATTTAATATTGAGCAATATTATTGATCTGCCTTACTTCAGGTGGATGTTGAAGCAATTTTCTTCTAGAAACAAACTTTGTTATATTATTTTCATGTTATCTCTGTGAAGCTGCTTTTTTTTTTATAATGGACTTCATTGGGAACCAAACGGTTCAAGGTCCAAATGAGAGTTTCAGTACAGCTTCAAAGAGCTTTAAACAACAGCAGACGATGAATAAGGGTCTTATCTAGGACCCTTCGAGTCATGACTCGAAAAAAGATTTGTTTCGTTTTTTAAATTTCTTTTCGACTGAAGAAAGAAAGACATGGACATCTTGGATGACACGGGGGTGAGTAAATTATCAGCAAAAGTTTTTTTTTTAAAGTGTACTACTCCTTTAAGATATAGAGACCGCAGTCTTCCATTACTATGTAAGTACTGTTTTTCTGTATTGTTCATTTATTACATTTATCTGGGGTTCGCCGTTTTATTTCCATGTTTTAACAGAGTGAGGCCATTTTTAATGCCCACCTTTAAGCTCCTTTTAGCCATTTATGGAACTGTGTACAGATGTGTTTTATCAATCTCTACTCTTATTGATATTTTTATAAATTTACTTCTTCTGCAGAACACAAAGGAAGTTAATTTAAAGAATGTTGGTAACCAAACATTGACTTCCCTACTAGTACACTAAAAAAAAGAGGTTCTTCAGCGGTTCTTTGCGGTGGTCATGGTGCTATGTAGCACCACCTGTTAAGCCCAGTTTGGTTCTTCAGTGGTTCTCTGAGGTGGATAATGTGCTTATGGTTTTAGATAGAACCATATGACAAAGATTAAAGTGGTTCCCCTATGATTACAAGCCAATGAACCACTTTTAGTGCTATTTAGCACCATTTGTTTTTAGAGTGTATGAGGAAGAAAATACTATGGAAGTCAATGGGGTCCATCAACGGTCTGGTTACCGACACTCTTCACCTGTTCAGCAGAAGAAAGAAATCCATACAGGTTTGGAAGTAAACGTTTGGGTGAACTATCCCTTTAAAGGACAACTCCGGCGCAAAATGAACATTTGGTCTAATTACACATTGTTACCTAGTCAACCGTTATCTGAGATTTGTTTTCATGATTGCTGCATGTAAATAGTTTTATCTCTAAAAACAGTTTAGCCTATAACGCTAGTATATGGGGCATAGAGTAATGACAAATAAAAATCGCTTGTATTTACCACTAACAAGGCTCAAAATAGCCCCACAGTAACACGACAGCATAACAAGGGTCCCAAACATGAACCATTTTCTTCTCTTCAATATGTACACATAGCCACCTGTTCGCGCTCACCTTATCACCTTATTCACATCTCACCAGCGCACTTGGATCGGTGTTCGTAGATCGACTGGTAGAATCTATTTTTCAAAGATGGCTTCTTCCTGTTTTTGCGAAGTTGACTGTGTGTATAAAATATCTTCTTATTAGAGTGTTTGGACACTGACAAAGTACTCAATGCTTCGGTTTGAATGTAGGGACCCTTGTTATGCTACCGTGTTACTGTTGGGCTATTTTGAGCCTTGTTAGTGGTAATAACAAGCGATTTTTATTTGTCATTACTCTATGCCCTATATACTAGCGTTATAGATTAAACTGTTTTTAGAGATAAAACTATTTACATTCAGCAATCATGAAAACAAATCTCTGATAACAGTTGACTAGGTAACAATGTGTAATTAGACCAAAGGTTCATTTTGCGCCGGAGTTGTCCTTTAATTATATTTTATGTATTTATTCAAATATATGGTGACATTATATTGAAAATGCTATGCTCCAATTAAGGCTGCTGTCACTAGCAGAAGCGACAGCTAATGGATAGATTGAATTCAGTGAGAGATGAACAAGGTTTTTTGTGCGGTAAAAATCCAGCCAACATTTTTTTATGAAGGGGAGTCGGTGCTGTTTTTAGTACGTAGCGGTTCTGTTGTTTTCATCATGCTAACACCTGGGTGTTTTACGGCTTCAGTGTTTGATACTGGTGTGATTACAACCGCTCTGTTTCTCCATGGGGTTATTTAGAGTAGAAATGATTCTTTAGATTATTAAAATGTTCTTTACACAGGTTTTTTGAAGACCAAAATGACACTGCTATGAAAACCCCCATCTGTGACCTTTATTTTTAAGAGCGTGCCTGGATGAGTTGAACAAGAACATGATGTAAAATGCTTGGGATAAAAGCATCTGCCAAATGCATAAACAGTCAAAAAGATTCACCTAGACTTCTCTAATGCCCAACATCTTTAAACATTTTAGTCTCACAGTTGAGAAGTAAAAAGGGAAAAAAAGAAATACATTTGAGTTTGCTTATTCATGACAACAATATTCTTCACACTCCGATTTCTTCCTCTGTTCTTTACTACTGCAAATCATTTCAGACTTTGCTTTGTCAGTCATCTGCTGCTTTTTTGCAGAGTCCGAAAGTTTGCATTGCGTTTCAGGCACGCAGCCGTCATGCTTCTTTATGCTTATGACCTGACAGGAGTTTTCTGAGGAACATGGCACACAGTATTGGTGCACAGCAGTGAAGCTTCTTGTCTTCTGAGAGTTTCTGGATTGGCTCCGTCGTCGAAGAGACGAGAACTCACCGTTATTGATGGAGTTTTGCCTTTTTCCACTTGAAGCTTTACGGACCGCCTCGCGGAAGTTCTCTCCGGCGAAGAAGTACAACAAGGGATTGAAGCAACTGTTGGATGCCGCCATGCACAGCGAGATGACCAGAACTTTCAGGAGGTACTTTCTGACCCGGCAGTCCTGACTTGAAACAACGGCATGAAGGTGGACCGTGCGGATGACGTGATACGGTAGGAAACACAGCAGGAACGTGCTCAGGACAACCACGATCAAACACACAGCGCGACGCCGCTTTTGATTGCCGATTTTCCGCCCAAAGACGAGTTCGTAGAAGATGTAGCTGTAGCAGACCAGTATTGTAATAAACGGAATGACGAATCCAAACGACACCCCCACATAGTTCAAGATAAATATGCGCTGCCACGACGTGATGTTCCCGGGTTCAAAGCAGATCGTTTTACCCTCCCGTTCTAAAGTCCCCGACATGAGGAACGGCGTTGACAAGGCGGCCACAAATATCCAGATCACAAAGCACGATATACTGGCTCGCCGCACCGTGGCCTGGCTCTTGTGGCGTATGGGGTGAAGCACGGCGTGGTACCGTAGTACACTAAGGCCAGTGAGGAACAATACGCTTGTGTACAGGTTCACGTAAAAGCAAAATACACACCAGCGGCAAAACCAGTCTGGGAAGTCCCACTGACCGCCCCTGAAGTAGTACACCAGGCGGAAGGGCAAAGTCAAGGAGAAGCTAGCATCTGAAATGGCCAAGTTGGTCATAAAAACCGTGTTGGCGGTCTTCTTCGGGGTGAAACGCAGGAACACGACCAAAGCCAATACGTTGCTGATGAATCCAATAGGGAATACAACACTGTACGTGATGGTGTATGCCATATATTTGAACTCGTCGCTGTCCCTGCGTGTCTGGTTGAGGCATGCATGTTCTTGGGTGGTGTTGAGCTGAAACAGAGTTTCCAATGTAGACGTGGGAGCTGGAGACAAAAAGAGAATACGTTAGATATCAAACAATTGTGTTGCGAGCAGAATCAGTGCAGTCACGATAGGCTTTAAAGGAGTCGTTCACTTTAAAAAAAACTTTTGCTGATAATTTACTCACCCCCATGTCATCCAAGATGTCCATGTCTTTCTTTCTTCAGTCGAAAAGAAATTAAGGTTTTTGATGAAAACATTCCAGGATTTTTTCATATAATGGACTTCAATGGGAACCAAACGGTTCAAGGTCCAAATGAGAGTTTCAGTGCGGCTTCAAAGGGCTTTAAACGATTTCAGATGATAAATAAGGGTCTTATCTAGCGAAACGATTGGTCATTTCAAAAATAAATAAAAAATTGTAAGTTTTATAAGCACATACGCTTGCCTTGCTCTGTTCTGTGATGAGCGTTTGTGACTCTTCTGTTCATCAAAATGAACAAATCTTTTCTCAAGTCATTTGGTTCAATGAACGAAATGACTCGAAAAAAGATTTGTTCATTTTGATGAACAAGTTTGATCGAACAGGAGAGTCACACAGAACAGAGCAAGGCGAGCATTTGTGCTTATAAAACTTAATGTTTTTTTTATTTTTGAAATGACCGATCGTTTCGCTAGATAAGACCCTTATTCATCGTCTGGTGTCGTTTAAAGCCCTTTGAACAGTTTGTACTGAAACTCTCATTTGAATCGTGAACCGTTTGGACCCCATTGAAGTCCATTATATGGAGAAAATCCTTAAATGTTTTCATCAAAAACCTTAATTTCTTTTCGACTGAAAAAAGATTGACATGGACATCTTGGATGACATGGGGGTGAGTAAATTATCAGCAAAAGTTTTTTTTTTTTATGCAAAATTATACTTGCTTCTGTTTTTACTAGTTAAAAGAACAAATAATAATGATCTACATTCTACATTAACAAACTCTGTCCAGTAACAAACACTGGTCAAGCATCTTTTGGCTATGCAAATTTGCAGGTCACTCAACTTCAGCTTTTGCAGCTAATTTTAAGAAAAACTATTTGCATGTGTTTGCGATTTTACTCTGAATGGATGTGAGTTTAGTGACTAAGACTAAGCATGCTGATAATATGATAAAGAAATGATACAAGAAAGTGATTAATGCTAAAATGAAGGCATTGCTCAACAATAGCTTACTAAACCAGGAAATGGTGATTTTATTTAAAACACAGGTTTAAAAAAAAAAAAACCTCGGTTTTCCTGGTTAAATATTGATATTGCCATGGAGGTTTGATATACACAGCAGGGTTGTGTTTGGTATAATATACTTTACTTTATCTAAAACTATTTTAAACAAGACTTGTATAATTTTTATGCATAATTTTTGTATAATTTTATTTAATAGTTTATATTAATATTTTATTTCAAACAATTATATTTGAATACATTTGAAAGAAGAAAAAAATATTGTTATTTCTTGTCATGTCTATTATTTTTCAACTACCCAAATATCGTTATTTTATTAAGAAGTCTCTTGTTTCCAGTTATCCCATCCATAGTTCATATGCAAAACATATGCAAAAGAATATTCAGTGGGTAAAATGAAAACTGTTGCACACTAACAATATTCAAATGACTGATGTATTCATAGACCAGCAAAACAAAACATGAAACGTTTTTCTGCATAAAGAAAGGCATTGTTAATTATTAATATTCTCATTAATCCAATGTTCTGGAAGTAAAAGTCTGGTAATGCTATTGTCAAAGTAAATAGACTAAAGCTGATTTAAACTGGAATATCATGGAACAAGTTTGGCCACAAGTCTTATAAAAAGTACCAATGGTATTTTCATATTTTATACATATGCTAATTCCTTTAAAAAAAAAAAAAAAAAAGGTAATGTGAAGAGGATACCATGGTACAGAGATGAGACGATACTTTAGTATACCATAGTACGTAAATAGTATTCAAGTAAGGCTACTTTAAGGTAGTTCCAAATTCATTTATAATGGCATGTTTGCAGGATAGGCTACCAAGAAGCCATAAAGTACAAAGACAAAGTCCATAGTCCAAAATACAGTTTTTCGGCTTCTTCTTGGAGTGCCATTTCAAAAGGTATCATTATATACAATTTCAAACATGTTTATTTGTACCTTTTTGACATTTTTTGACATACCACTCCTAAAATATGCCGAAAAACTGTACTTTGGACTATGGACTTTGTCTTTGGACTACCAATATTAGCCTATGGTTTCTTTGTAAATATGCCATTATAAATTAATTTCAGAACTAGCTATATAGAATGCATCCACTGACATTAAAATGTAAAACTCAATATGACTCGTGTGAGGCTGTGACTGCAGTTTCACTCACCTGTCATTCTCTTTTGACCAGCATGCTCCTCATCATCAGCGGACTGATGAATTCGAGTCAGTCAAGATTGTTGTATTGAGTGCGTTATGCAAAAAAAAAATGTCAATATGCTTCTCTCTCAGCAGCTTCAAGTGTCTGCTTCCTTTGAAAAAGTGCATGAAGAATGCTGTCTCTTCTCGGGTGTCCAACCCGTAATTCCAGTGAAGCGTATTAACAGTCGTAACGCACGAAGTTAACCAGACTCTCCAATTGTTGTCGGCTTGGCAAAAGAATCGCTTGTTTTCAATGATTCATACGAACCGATTCGCACAGCGCATTCGACTGCAGAGATGTGAAACAAACTACACAGCATTCGACGCGATATGGATAAAACCAAATCGAAATCATAGAGGTATACAGAATCATTTCTGTAATTCGAAATGTTTTCTTGGGGAGTTCAAACGAATCGATTCGTTAAATTGAATCAGACTTCAGAACCTTCCTAAATATTTCCAGAGAAACCACGCCTCACACTTCAGGTGTTTTTCTTCTTTGTCAGTTTCTCTGAGCAGATGATTTATGTAGGTATAGCATAATTGCCTAATTCCCGTTACATGACCAAAATTAAGACATTTAATTAATTTTGTTATTATATAGGCTATAAGTTTAGAAAAGAATTGTATTATCTTAAAGCACATTATTAATAATATTCTTAATAAATCTTAATATATTTGTAAAACATATTGGTTTTAGGCTTGTTATACAAAAAGAACCAAAAAACAACTTCTAGGTTTTCAGTTAGTCAAAGAGTTACCAGAACGTTAGAGGATGTCCAAAAATATTGTATTTCAATAATTTTGTTATCATAAATATGTGTAAAAACTAACAGCAAAAACGAGAAGAATAAATTATCTATATCATAAATAATAATTTATATACTTCTAATTTTCTGATCAAACGTCACAGATGGACAATAGAGGAGTATGTCCAAAAATATGGTATTTAGCCCTCAATCGGGTCATGGGGTCTATACGACCCCAATCGACTTTTACTTAATAAAAAAAAGGTTCCCTTCATCTCAGTGGAATAAGATTTTGTAACTTTTCATATCTATCGATACACACACAATAACTGGGCTTGATTCGGTTGATCTGTAGGTATGTAAAAAAAAATGTTTACACTTCTGGTCTTTGGGGTCAGTATGATCCAACCTTGAAATTAATTTGGAAATGTGAAAAAAAGAAAATTCTTCATTTGTCAAAAAAAAAAAAAAAAAAAAAAAAAAAAAATCCGGCATAAATCTGAAATTTTTTACACACAAATGAAGTTTCTAGTACTAGAGCATAAATGCAATGTATCATTAAAAAAAATTATATTTCATATGCAAGCTAATGGTGAGGAATTGTGTGGTTAATACAAAAGTACTTTATCTCCAAAAACACCGCATTAATGAATAGATGAGAAGTAAACAAAAAAAAAACGATATATTATTTGTATGATTAAAAATGTAAATATTTTTTGTACAACTCAATCAATTACCCCGAAGCCCAGAAATGTAAACAGGAAAAGAAGACCATTTGAAGGTTTAACAATGATATAAACAACCACCATAGTAGCATGGTAACATCACAACAAAAACGAGAAGAATAGCATATAGCCGATATATATATAATAAATGATGTACTTCTAGGTTCTCAGTTAGTCAAATAGTTTGCTATCCTTTGATCAAATGTCACATATTACGAGGAGGAGCGATCTGCCAAAACCATGATATCTATCTCTATGGCCAAATCGACTGAAAGAAACTATATCTCCCATCATGCAACAGCAACAACAATACGTCACCTTCCCATCTAAATGCATTCTGGGAAGGAGAAGCTTGTAGACCATTTTAGCTGCAGATGACATCGAATGACCTGACCAAGAGTGCGATCTTTGGAGAGAGGTGATCTGTTGGCAGTCATTGCACCTCTCAACATTTGAGAAATATTTTACTTCAGAGTTTCGTTGAAATATATTTGGTAAGTTTTCGTTGTTTCGTGGCGGTCTTTGCGCCTTTTTCAACGACAACACGACGACACAGTCTGAGTCTCCATTTTGATGTGCCTTCCTGAACTTCTCACATAACGAAAATTAACACCACACGAACAAAAACAAACTTACTACCACTGGATTTTTATCCATGTACAATTGAAATATCATATTTTTTCCCAACATATATTAACATATATTGGTAATGCCGTGTTTTACGGGCATGTTATGTTTTTTTAAATTATGTTCACGTTAACGTTACATTAAATTGCAATGCAAGTTAAATACCGCTTTATTAAAATGCATTCAGTTCTCTCTCTCTCTCTCTCTCTCTCTCTCTCTCTCTCTCTCTCTCTCTCTCTCTCTCTCTATATATATATATATATATATATATGTATGGTAGTGTATATGTATATCTCTCTCTATATGTATCGTAGTGTTGTACTCATGGCAAGTGCTGTGATCTTATTAAACGGTGTTATTATGTTAACTGTTACGTAACTTGCATGGTATTAAGAATACCATGGTACATGACATGTACAATAAAAAACACAGTACCATGTTATTTTATATAATTAAACCAATAGCACATACCTATGTGGTTTAAACACAAGGCGTTGGCATGTCATATAATTGTGTTTATGATATGTGCAACATTAACATTGTACTATAACACTTTGTTCTGTACGATTTTAACAGGCCTTGTATTGAGAAACGAAGATGGGCGCAGATAAACGGTCAGTGTTTTATGACTTGATGAGGTAAATATTCTCACAACTAGGGATGTGCCCGAAGCCCAAATCCACATTTGGAAAGGCACGAACAATGAAAACGCATTCTACGAAGCCCAGGAAGTGACATTGTTTGGCTTCCTGTGGTAGTTGGTTACATTATAGTACATTAAATTTTACTTATGTGAAGATAGAAAGGAGAGATGATTGACAGGACCATGTCAGAGGATTTGGTGCACAACACATCTTTACCATCATTTACATTATCTTGTAAAATATGTGGCCAGTATCGCTGCTCCCTATATTCACTGTATGAGATGGCGAATTGGAAAGTAAAAAGTGAGCCTGTACATTTTTGGTCAAGATCTTCTATTGACAATTGTTCATGCTCCCCTTCAACCATTCTTTCACAATTTGAGCCTGATGCATCTTGACAATGTCATTCTGGAATATGGTTATGGTGTGTCTTCCTACATGGTTGTTTAAGAAATGAAAAGCTACACACTCCTTCAATTAGGGTTAGAAGAACTGTTGCCAAACATATAAGGTACTATAAACATAATAGTCACTGCAATAATGATCCAAATCATAGACTCTTAACCATTTAACCATTTAAATCCAAACTGGGACTTGTTTTATTTGCCAGGCATTACATTTTCTTTTCTTTCTTTCTTCAACATGTCCCTTTAGGGGCTCCGTAGAATGAGTCATTTCCTTTCCAAACATAGTGTTTTGCTTCGGACACATCCCTACTCGCAACTTAAATTGAACGTCATAATATCATAATCTCTTGTTGTAACTCTAGGGTTAGCCGTACCGAACGCAGTGGCAGGTACGGCTCCGAACAGTCTCGCGACGACCGCAGGGACCGTCGAGATCGAGACGATCGCGGATACGACTCTCATCGCTGGAGTGATGATCGGCGTAGTAGTGACCGTTACGATGGTGAACGTGGTGAGAGAAGCGATCGATACTGGAGCAGGGACAGTCCTGAGGTGAGGACTTACTAATATGAATGCTTATTTGAGGTTTTGACATAGAATGACGCTCACTTTACTAATTCTCATCCGTGTTACAGAGAGGAAGGAAACGGCGCAGCAGCGACGGGTCTGACGACGGACACCACTCGGATGGCGATTACTCTGAGCATGACTATAGAGGAGACCCAGCTGACGAGAAGGAGAGCAAGACCATCATGCTCCGGGGTCTGCCCATGAACACCACAGAAGCAGATGTAAGTCCTTTGTCTGATGAAGTTTCCGTTGAAATAAAATCTTAAAAAAGCCATAATTAAGCCAAACGTGTAATGGAAAATTCTGCTGTAAGTATTAATAGTAAAAATAACTGTATTGAGTGAGTTTAAGTATTGAACTAATTAACGCCATCATGGAAATGTCTACAGTGATAAAGCTGCATGATCAATTGAGAATCACAATTTTAAGTTTGTTTTAACTATTATTATTATTTCGTCCAGGACTTCACTGTGAAATGTATAGTAATTCAAATCATGTATTATTATTATTGTTTAAATATATAGATATATGAAAAAATTCACACTAATTCTGTGTTTTTGCTGGTAATAAAATTAAGTCATAAAACACTAATTTTATCATAAACTTTTTTGTCAAATAATGTGCTGCACAATGGGCTTTACTGTTAAAATTAAAACATGGATTATTCCTTACTCAGTTTTGTTTAAAAAAAATCATAATTTATTCGTATTAGTGTTAATGTATTACTACATTTGGACATTTCCTATTTCTACTGTACAACAGTAATATATTTCTGTCAAGTTATTTCTGCTTTTATTTTGACGGGTTGCCGTGAAGCCCTTTGGAGTTTCTGTGTGTTTGTCATGATCGTCATGATGATAGTTTCACAAATGAAGCGGTTAAATGATCACGAAGTGACTTTCAGAGTGGATCTAGAGCCTGGAGAGGAAGTTCAATCATTTCTGTCTTCATATAGGCAAAAAAAAAAAATCAGCGCAAGCGTCAAACGTGTGTCTTCAGTGTATGTGTGTGTGTGGTAACGTTAAATAAAACTGCGCGTCGTCGGCTGCACCAGAGCCGTTGAAAAAACATTCATATTTAACAGCTCTGGGCTGCACTATTCATTCACACGGAACATACGATTCATACGAACAGGATTCGTATTTAAATAGTATTTGAGCTTTAATATTCACACACACTAGTCTATATTGCGATTTTTATTTCAAGTGTACTGAACCACTTTCTATTTATTCCTCGAAAATATACAGTAAAATCCTTTATTATGATTTCGTCAGCATTTTAGGGGGGCGGGGGGTCGTTTTCCCCAAACAATGGTAGGGGAAACACTGCTTATCTGACTTTGCCTTGTAATCCACAGATTCGAGCAGCCATTGACCAGCTGGAGGGGCCAAAGCCGATGGACGTGAGGCTGATGAAAAAGAGAACAGGTGAGACTGATGTACCGTGGATCCTTCCCCTCCCAAACAAACCTGTGTCCGCTGGGCCAACCTGCTTCCGCTCAAACGCCTTTTGCCATAGCAACAT